GCTACACGGTGATTGGTGGAACCATAGGTTGGATTCGTTTCCAACGCTTCATACCACTGGCTCAAGGAGCACATCGATCGTCTCAGGGCACAGGCGAGTAGCGAACACGTTAGCTGCGTGGAAGTGACCGAGGTGAAGGGGAAGCACAATTGTGCAGTAGATGGTACGCGCAGCGGATGGCAGCAATTGCTATTAATACATCAGAAATGTCTTCCGGATGAGAGCACGCCTATTTCTGAACAACTCAAGTTGATTTGTGTCACAAACATAGGTCTCAGGAAGGAGAATGGCCAAAGTGTAAAGTAGTTCGGGGAAACAATCCGCGCAATAATAAGCAAATACTGAAGGAAATAGTGGAGGCTCGATAAGTGGGTTAGGATGCCTCATGGTTGATTCGTTAGGAGTATGCTCCGTGTGAGGAAATTGTGATAAGCAGCCGCAATTTGCAGCGCCATCTACTGCCTTGGTAGCGCACTTACTGCTTCCACGTCAGCCTTCTAATTGTTCTAAACCAGGGTAAGATTAACAAAGAAATAACTAGTTTTTATAAGACGCAAGAGACACGTTCCTTTTCACATTGTAGTTGGCCAATCAGGGGTACCGTAGTCTGACCAATGGAAACGGACCCCTGGACAGCTCGCTCTGCCGCATCTCTGTTGCGCACTTCACTACGATTCTCCCTGCTCTCCTACGCAAGTGAATAATTGACTGTTTGCCGATTTGAAGCCACATTGATCGAAATACTAGCGGTCTTAATCGAGCCACAACGATGGTAATGCTGTCAATCACCGCATTCTCGAATGGACTGATTAGATAAGCAATAGGAGAGGTGGTAAGTGAATGCAATACCAGGACAGAGTGGACCTTGCAGTATGAAAATGTGCGAATTGTGTGTATGCAAGGAGCCTAAGGTTCACTAGTTGTTCTCTAAATCAACCTGCATAGCTAAATGAAGAATGAACGCACAACAAAAACAAAGTGGAACCTCTGTTGACCGAAACTGAAGTACTGAAGCAATTTATTTTGCCAAAACACGACAAAATAGGCAACCCTGGGACGTAAACATCAAACCAGGTTACATAGACATCGTTATGGCCCAGTCGATTAAACGTACGCGGACACGCCTGGTCTTATTCTGTTGAATAACTTTTGGTTTTTCTCACATTGGACCCATTTGACCACTTGTGAGAGTGAAGATAAATCATTCAAAATGCTATAATTTGAGCATCAGGTTCCGCTGCATTGTTGGAATGAAGGCCCATGTTTACTTGTACACACCAGGTGGTGACGTTAATAGTATACCCTCGAATTTTGTCTGATTGTAGCCTCCCAGTAGTTCGACTTGGCTTACTGAATCACACACAAAAGTGGAAACTAAAGTGCCGTTCCAACTTTGTTCCTGGTATGGTGTGCTCATTTACAAAAAAACCATTATTGTGCGTAAGGGGAAATGGAGGACCTAACTATGGAGACAATCGTAGGTATGACTGTACCACTTCACTTGATCCTTCTCACTACACTTCCCCCTTTGCCTTGAACCTGTTGTAACTATTGTTGCTGGTTATTGCATTTCAACCTTCCTATTGTCTTACCGATATCACCCATTAATTTATCCCTTAGAATACGTCCTGAATTTTACTTGCAGCGCCTATGCTTTGCTTTCTACCTCTGTGCCAGAAAACGGTTAGCTATCTGTACACATTCTTAATCACCCTGTGATCGGCATTTTGTACCAGACCGTAATTTGATGGGTGTGTCTAGCATTGTGTACAGAAGAAACGCTTATTTATTTACTGCTCCCATGTCAACATGAACATTTCCGTTGCACGGCCACGCAAGCAGAGATGACATCGTCACCTCGAGTAGTGACGAAACTTTTGCAGTCAACCTGCCGAGCTCAGCAAACACTCAGACCACCAACTATTGATACAATTGACTGAGAAAAGGCATAGTGAATGCACTCGTATTGCATGCGTACTATGGCACTGCGTAATAGCGAACAAGGCATGCGCTAACAGTACTGCATAACTAATGGAATTCATTTGAACAACCTCCTCTGGTTTAACCCGTTCCAGCAAATATTTCGGCGACAGTGTTCCAGGAGGTGGCGCGTTTTCGCCTGACAGGCGTTCTCCCCATAAAAAGCCCCAAATGTCTGCCTAACAACACTGTGAGGTGGCGGTCGCGACTGGCCAAAGAATAAAGTCACTGCCTCGTGGACATCCGGATAATCGTTTCCAAACCAGGGGTACCGATCTTCTACTCGCACATTGTTGACGATATCAAACATACAAGAATGGAACACACAATTACAAGCACAAACTTGTTGGCGGCATCCGGTTTCGGATTTGCCTGTCACTGTGGCAAGCCACAGGACGCCTGCGCCTACAGAAGGACCATGGATGGCTTGCGCTGCACCACCCACAGCTCCAACCACATACCCCATATCCAGTGTAAACCCAAAGGAATAAGACCGGGAGGCATGCGGATGGGAACCACGTTTCATCAACGGAGCCGGCCCACACTCCTTCACAGGCAAACACAAGCACACTGTATTTGGGAATCAAGCGCACACAATGCGGTGGCTCGACCGTAGTGCGCTCCACACTGACTGCCTGGAACCACTCTTTGATCCTAACACGGCCACAAGGACCGTGCACCCCGTCCCCTCCAGCAACGACCAACTGTCTCCTGGAGCCAGTATGGACGAGGTAGTGGGTAATAGACAGGTAGGCACCTTGTCAACATGTATATCAAGCGCAGCCACAACGGGGATATCAAGCAACAGCCAATCACTTGAAACAACAAGATGAAATAGAATAAATCCGGCAATGCATGCAGATACGATAGCACAACTCTTCGCTAAATTAGCACATGAAGTAAGTTGGTTAGCAACGAATCCGTGATACGTAAAAAATGTCCGCAAGTTAGTTAAAAATGCTACAAACGCGACAAAGTTACCAGGTGCAGGGTGAGCAACAAGCATAAACTACACAGCTACATATACACATACAATTACATACGTATATGCACCCCTACACAAACATACACTATTATGACAAACATATCGGATTTTTGCCCATTCTTGATCACGCTTTGTTACGTTGACATGACCATGCCTGTAAAGGCGTGCCTCGTCTTGTCGAATACTGAATACTGAATACTGTTTCGAAGCAGCGAGTAGAGCTTTCTCTGTGTAGTTGCATCATTCGTCGCTCTTGGACATTTACGCCTTATTTATCGTTCCGCTCTCTATATTTTGCCTCTCCAAAATGTTTGTCTAGGAGTTTCTTAAATTCGGACACTGAGTTCGCCTCTACTACCTTCTGCGGCAGGTCGTTCCAGATATTCACTATTCTACGTTCGCTTCAACTTTTGTACAATAAGGTTGTACCGGTGTCATCGCGTGCAACTTGGTGTGCGCAGATGAAAAGGCTAACTGAGGTCCACGAGGACAAGGCGTACAACACATGGCACATGGCACTTCAATACATGTTGGCAGCACAGAGGACAGCACAACAACAATTTGGCGAGGCGGAGAATACAGCGAACAGTTAGGAAGCGACATGCACACTGAAAACTTGTTTTGTTAATTACCATCATCCTGTGCACCGGATAATCAATGAAGCAGGCAAGCCCTCGGGGTCGCAGTGAACTTTTGATCACGAATTCGGTCAACAAAAAACGATTCAGTCCTCTGTCGGTTCCATTGTGATGCATATTGGTGATTGACACTTGTTGCCATTTGTTTCAATACGCATCGTATGCGCTTTAAACCGAACCATCCATAATGTGCTCCCCGTATGGAGTACCACATCGGGATGCATTCGGTTTCAAGTAGGTTCCAACACTTACGTTTCAAGAGAGTGAAACGTGTTGAGGAAGCAGCCAAAATAGCCCAGAAAAGCGAATCCGTGTTTCTAACGAAGTCTTCCCTCGTTTTTGACTTGTGCGGATCCCTGCAGTGCTATCAGAATGCTTAGTTTCACTTTCATACTTCTTTTTGCATTGACCAGGGATAACTGAGCTTGCCTAGGCTCGCAAGGTAAACTGGGTGCGATACTAAGCTACAACAACACACCACTATCTCTCCGCAGGTAGTTCGTTGAAAATGTCCGACTAGTTCGTCTGCGTTGAGGACGATGTTAATTGTTGCCGGTTTCACGGTGAGAAACCCACTCTCAGTTGTAGCATACAGATAGTCTTAACAAACCGCTGCTGCTAATAGTGGCAGCGTGACGTCAGTAACCCACCGAAAATCAAGCCTACAAGATCCGGGTACGAGCAGACATGCTTTGTGGTCGTGGGACTTGGGTCATTGGCATGAAGAAATACTAAGGACTGGTTTGAATACCCCTGTCATCCGAGATTGCGAATGTACCATGACAGCATCGCATTCATGATAGTGACGTTCTATAGGCCGCGCAATTGCATAATATTTTTCATAGGATTCAGCGGATTAGGTACGTTCACTGCGCGTCCGCTCACTCGTTGTTTTAGCGTTCACTATGCACAAGATGGCCAGTACGCTAACTGGATTCGCCGTGCTAAACGGCTGGATTCAGTGGTGGCCAGGGAAGGGTATTCTAGACCTCTGAGATGGGAACCAAAGTACCATGGGGTCCCTTGGCTACCGTGATTCTTTTCCTTTCTTTTCTGCTTCATCTATAGATTGTGGCAAGCTACCATTTGCGCTATCATTAGGTGAATGTGATGTATGACCAGCCCATTGATAACAGTGTAAATTGGTATGACACGCAGGTCATTAGTTCAGCAACCGTCAACCAGGAGTAAACTATTTGATCGAATGCCCGAACACAAACTCTCTCGGATGATAGAAATAGTCGGTTACTCCGGGGATCTAACGACAGGAAAAGGCCATTAATACCAGCAGTGAACAAAGTCAGTAGGGATGAATGGGAAGGTTTGGTTGCCGCGAAACAGGCAACAAGTTGTTGCGTGCCAAATATCACCGAAGCAAAATTACCATTTGCACTTACAGCAAACATGAGGGCGTATCGATTGGTAAATTGGGCGTCATGCCAAGGTGGCTGTCCAGTCAACATCTCGATTAGGCAACATCCCACGGACCAGATGTCACACGCGCGGCCATATGTCTCTCCTCGGAGCACCTGCAAGATGTGTGGAAAGAGATGTTTAGGAGAAGTGAGGATCAAGCGAAGCAGACAAATAAAGAGGAGGAATGAAAAAGAAGTTTCCACTTATCTGTGATAGTGCGCTGCGAAATAGGACAGCGCAATAGGCGACTTGGAGAAATTGCAATGGAAACACCTTGATTATCCCTGATTAGGCTACAGCACCGCAAACAAATGCGGGTGGGTCGATCTACCTACTACTGGATTGAGTACGGCTCAAAAACGGAGTTCTGGGGTCCATACCTGTCCTCCATATGCTCTAAATGCTAGAAGCAATAAGCGACTATCGAACAATTAACGCATGTTCCCGGATGTGGGATGACCCATGTGCAGTAAGCCTATCATCTGTATCGGGATAATATAAGTTAGAATACAAGTGGAATAAAAGCATCACTGGCGGTTCGCACGTGGTAGTGAACTGTTCCTGAATTGGCGCAAATGGAGCTCTCTGTTGCATTGCAAAGTCAGTATATAAACAGCAAAAATTCGTGTCACGCACATCTTCACACTGGCAAGCAGGAAATCGGTCGACCACAACATGATGTGAAATTTAGGATGGAAATTGAGCAATTGCGGATAAGATTATCTCAGTCAAAATATATAAAATAGACATACCTCTGGAGCCATAAAAGAGAAAGTCCCGATGACTTGGCCTTGGAATTGACCAGCTATGCTCTTCTCGCCGCTCAGTTTGGCGGATGCGCCGAAGTCTGAAATGCGTACCACACTTCCGGACGTGTCGACTAGGAGGTTGGCTCCTACAATGCAAATGGTAGACATGGGTTGCGTTTCACCTTGATGTGGAATATTCATTGGTATGGGTAAACAATAAGAAAAATTGTATGACTAGGTCGCAAAGCAATCCGAGTGTTTGACGTGTCTGTATGTAAGACTTGAGAAGTTGAGCTAAAGCAATCCACACGCAGTGCCCACAAAGAGCAGCCGAATCGAGCAGAACAGGTCAGGAGTTGCATCCCAAGGCTGTCAATCTCTTCCGATCTTGCAGCACAACTATACTGAACAAGCCTACTGCCGATATCTCACCTCCCGAGAGACGCGTTCACCTTATTCCAGTAGTGCGTCGCGCCAGTTTGTTTGATAACTAGGCCCGGTACAGCAATTGCAACACAAACCGGATTGCTAACTTGAGTTCACCTCAAATCGCTGGCAGGTCTTTGGCGCCTCGATACCAGAGGGTCCTTACTCTCCTCGGTTGACGCATATGTGGTTTCTTTATCAAACCATTGCCCTACCTCTTCGAATGTCGGTTTCTAGGTCGACGTGTCATAAGCTCAATACCATTCGTTGGTCCCGGAGATTCAAGACTCACAGAGTGGCTTTATCTCCCACTCTTGCCTTTTTCTTTTTACAATGAAGTTTTGCTGCTAATTGAGACAATCACAGTCCTCATGAAGGCGCCAGACCTAAAGAGTAACTCTGCCACGTAACGGTCCCTGTGTATGTCTGGTACGTATGTTCCCCCAAATGTTGTGTAACTGAGGTGTAGGTGAACCATCTCTTAACCACTTGTGACTCCCATCTGCATGCTCCAAAACTTACTCCTACGGGTTTACGCAGAATATGGAAGGTGAATAGAGCAGCGGGTGGTTCAGCTTGAGTTACCCATGGACTATCGGTAGGTGAGGGAGTGCTGTACTGGCCGGACCCTCAAGTTACCGCCTCATATGTTTACCTTTGTTATGGTAGATGTGGTAGCAACTACATTAACCGAACTGATAGAAGGTTGTTGACCAGAGCACATTCTGCGAAATATGGTCGACAATGCTCCCAAGTTTCTAGTTAACTACATTGCGCAACACACCCTAGACTGCTCAATATGCCAAGATCAGTGCGATTCGTTCAGGATAATTAGCTGACAGAGCAATGCTTGCCTGCTCCAGTCTGTCGAATGTCTAGTGATTTGGTGTCTGAACCCCAACAGTAATTTTATGATCGGCGTCGCTTAGTCTTAGTGAGGCTCCTCGATCAATTCAAATCCAAATTAAATAATCTTAAACGCTGTTTCCTCCTAAGCGCAACCCGATTATCCTACGGATGGTATGTTAACAACTGCTGAAAATACCCGAAGTACTGAAATTCAGAATATGCTGTTGTAGTTGTTGCTTCTTGCTATCTTGAAATTTTTCAAGGGAAAATCGTACATGAAAAGTCCTGTATCTATATGCAATTATGGAAAGTCATGCAACTCCGGAACGGCATGCCACCAAATACAAAGTATGTGAGTTAACTCGTTCGCTTTTTCGACTGTTTGCCTGACGCATTGTTCTTGCGTTGATAGTTTGCTCAAAATTCCAGTTGCGCAGGGGTGAACCGATCGGGGTGCGTATATTACAAAGGTTTTGCATGCGTTAACAAATTGAGCTCCCTACGAACAGTACCGTGGGTCAGTTCTGGGTGTGTCCAATGAAATCGTTTTCGGTATTTACACGCTGCACTCCAATCCAAGCGCTATAATGTTAATAGATTTTTTATAGAGCCTGGCACATAAAGTGTCGCCTAGAAAACTGAAAGATCGCTCGGTTAGGACGCCATTCGGGACCAAATATGTACCAGCTACTGGTCGAATCACAGGGTATAATCATAGATATTGTGAGTTTGATACGCGCTGCCTTTGGCTGTCGCATCTCATCTGGGTGACGTATCCCAAGTGTGCCAGTGCGTTAGCAGGAAAACACAATAGGGAGTCAAAGACCGACAGTTTAGTGGTACGACGGCTATCGATACCCGATGACACCCACGCAGACACGAAAAGGGATGCATTTTTAATGCTTAAGGAGCACAGGATAAGAAGATAAACTAAACACTCATTCTTCAAATAGTGTGGAGAACAGCACGAGGGGCACTCAAGCGACAAGACTCCATGACATGTATATAGGGCTGACAGACCTAACAACACTAAAGATCGGACTTGGTGGCTCTATATAACAGTGGATGATTCCACAACATTGTGCTCTAATAATGCACAATGTAACACAATTGCTAATACCAATATTTAGATTCTAGAGCATTCTGTGCAGCCCATGTATTGTGGCCAAAATAGCCAACGAGTTGCAGTTCTCAAACTAAATTTTAAGGTGTCACTTTGCTATGCTGCAGCCATGTTCCAATATCGTTTACGAAGAACTTAAAAAGAGGAATGTCACAAAAGACTGAGTTGCTCGTGAGACAACCAAATCTCAAGGAGGCTCCCTTGTTCTCGGTACCAAAGGATCAACCTTTGTTAATGCCATCTAGCTTCCTCATGTGGTGACTTCAAACTGTCGTAGTAGCAGGACACTTCTTCACGCTCTACGACAGTGTAACGGCACTTGTATCAGTTTGATGGATCCTGTTCTGCGGTAAGCTACACAGTGGGGCACAAAGGCCGACGGAAGAGAACCGCTGAAATAAACACCCTACCACGACTGGAATGAAGGAAGTGCCTAACAGATTGAGTCAGCTGGCAATCGTGTTTTACATGTTGTCACCTAAAATACAGTCAAAGTTCAAATGTGTCCACTCACTTAGGGCTGATTAGGTCTACTATCACGGTGATTCGGTTGTCTGTGTCTAAAGGATCTGTGTGAGCTATGTTGGATGGTGCTTGTTGCACCTTCAGAACCACTCGTACCAGACTGATCAATGTGCAGAGGCCATACGGACGCAGTCTCCTGGTCCTCTAGGTTGGGGTTTTGAGTATGCGTGACGGTTTATTCCTTAAAACGGACTCTCTGTATTCCACTGCCATACTACTGCTATCTTGCGGTCAAGTTTCTGGACCAAAGGTTTTGGTTAAGAAGAGTAATCGTTCTCCTCTCTAGGACTGGGCATGATGGCAGTATCCTGCCCAAATAATACAATGAACTTCTCTCCAAACAATTTCTTGATACTCTGGCCCTCGCAGAGAATAACGACGCCCATCTATTGCATCAAGCTAAGCGCGTAGGGGTGAAAATGCCGCTGCCCAGGCCTCCTCCTGTATTCCTCCTCCAACCTCTTTGCATTCTTGTCGTCCAACTTCACTTTTATCCTTCGTTTTACACCCTACAATGCTTGTCTATCCCCCGCCTTGCTTCAACAGCCGTCTGTCTTTTAATTTGGATGTAAACGCAATTGCAGAGAATCCATATGCAACTAAGTGAAAAACACCAAGTCATTCGCTTCGATTTGAAACTCACGATCATCACTAAGACTCGCATATCTCAACGTGCGTAGCTTATTGCATATCTGTCAACCGGCAGCATTTGATCGGGAATTAGAAATCCTATCGATAGATAGCTGTGTTTATCGGAAACCCGTCTGCAAGGCTCCAGCGCTTTGCCAACTCTGCAATCCGCTTCATCTGATGCCGGTAGCTCTTTCGCATTTGCATCAATCCGGAGATAACACAACTCCGATTGCCGGTCAAGTCGATGTGAGAATTGCTCTGAGCCGCGGCGTGAAGTTATTCTGATCATCTGGATCCCAATCAGTAGCCTAATGTGCGTCGTTCGACTAGTTGGCTCGTTCAAAGCTTTGAAGATGCGTGTGACCAATAGCTTTTGTTTTGTCATTGCCTATGCCCCCGCAAACTGTGGCGCTGATTCCGTGAAGGATGACTTCTATTATTATTATTATTATTATTACCAAGCGTAAGAGCTCCTGCGATGCAAGAAAAGTATAAATACTATGGTACCGGCTGGTGATCTGAACGCTTCAGTTGGAAAGCTGTTCAGTGATGAACTTCATCTAGCGGCCAACATGATGTAGGTCTCTGTAATAATAGTGATCGGTTGTTGCATCTGTGTGAAGATGCTTCGCTAATTCTCGCGAGCACAACCTTCCGACACAGCACTCACCGGCGACCAAAACGACGCTCACCAGCTTCAGATCAGCAACTGACGCAAATCGATCATAGTGCGATCAGTTATCGTTAGAGCGTTTACGTCCAAAATCGTCGCTTGAGTTGGATCATAAGTGTGAATTCCTACCATGCACGTGTATGTACTGATCTGTGAGCCCAATTCTGCGGAAGCCCACGACGACGATGAGAGCGCGCAGATGCTTACCAATGGGAGAAACCGGATGTTCTGTATGCATATCAAAGTATGCTGCCATCCGAGCTGAGTAAACGCTCGCTGAACACAGTTGACGGCTACTGATCACCTGTTTGAAAGATATTGATAGCAACAAATGTATTTCCGTCTGACATATCCGATTGCCAGCATAGGGAATGGGTCGGTACGCAGTCTCTGGAACCTAGATGCTCGCCGACGCATTGCAGCTGGGAATGAACAAAACTAGACTCGCAAAGATCTCATGGTAAAAGTGCGTGCTAGCCTGAAAACAGACCGTAAAACCTGGTTGTCTCATCGTGCATCGGAAATGCAAACAACCGCTGTTCTTGGCAACCGTCGGAAGTTATCTCATCTCATACGGGAAATGGGCAGTAGGAAAACTGGTGACGACGAAACGAAAATGAGCACCCTAGCCGCAACTTGTCAAAAGGCTCGAAACGTCTGGATGAGCAGTTCCAGAATCAAATTAGGCGGCTAGAGTTACCATTGTCCTTGTCGGTCATTGATCGTCATGCCCTCTGGGCTGTCTCTTTGGATGCGCCCTCTCGTGAGTAAGTTCAGCATGAGAGCAGACGGATGGTAGTGCCCAAAGCCGCAGGACAAAATGAACGTCATCCAGAGTTCTACAAAATCGAGGGACATACTCTTCAAGAGCACAGAACTGAACTGTAGCAGCACGCAACTATTCCAACTGACTAGAGCGATCCACTTTTCAAGGGAGGTTCAGGTTAGGAATGCGGTAATAATAAAGGGATCAGTCTGATCTCAATTGCCTCTAAGTTGCTTACATAGGCTATCTACCGCATTTAACTGGTGCCCGTGAAATCCAGACCTATGGACAGCATATCGGGTTTCGTCGAAATCGAGGTTACATCGAACATAGTTCCACTTTACGCCAGTTACTGTAGCACCGCCACTTATAATGGCGACCCATTGTAGTTGTTTTCAAGGACAGCAAAGGTGTCTTCAATTAGTTGGGTCGATGTGTCCTTTAGGACCGTCGGTTTAAAAAGGTGTGCCCGAAAAATTTGTACACATTAGCAGAGTAGTTTACGCGCATAGTTAGGGCAGAATGAAGGCTTACGAAAAGCTGTCGCCGCCCTTCAATTTCTCCAACGGCGTGAGACAGGGATTCCGGCTGTCCCCTCTCTTTTAAACTTCGCCACTGACGAAGTCATGGAAAGTACATTTACTGGGCACGACTTAGGTGTGAAGCTGCCAGCAGTTAATCGACTACTTAATTTGGAATATGCCGATGACATTGTCCCAATCTGTGACAGCTTGCTAACGTGCCAAGCAGCACTTGACAAATTAGCGTTCGCTGTTAACCGTTTCAGTCCTTTCTTTGCTCCCTGCAAATGCAAAACTTTCTTCCAAGATTGGTAGTGATCGCCCCATGGGCAGACTCTTGGTGAGGATCAAATAGAAGTTGTTCAGAGATTCAACGAGTTGAGCAGATCTATTAGCGCCCGTGGAATAGAATATGAAGTGGCGAACTGTATTGTGAAAGATGGAAGCGCTTTTTCTCAACTTCGTCACTTATGGCGCCGGCGCCATATCACTGTCGTCCTGAAGGTAGAGTCTACAATGTAGCCGTCCGTTCAAACCTACTGCACGGTTGTGAATCCTAGTCCATCAGGTTGACGGACATAAAGAGGTTAATTACGTTCGAGCATCGTTGTCTTCGTAGCTCAGCTCGCACTGGTGGGAGCACGGTGGGAGTAATGAGCGTGTTCGGCGTTGTGTATTTGATGCAGGAAGAGTGAGTGAACCATTCAGCATTCTTTATTCATGCACCAGTCTCCGATGGACTAGTCATATGTTACGCGTGCAAACACACTGACCCCGCGACGAGCAACCTGGGTCTGGATAGAAAAAAGAGAAGTGGTCAACGATAAGTTTGTTAAAAGAAATGAAGTCCCTCAGTTCGAAGTTGGCCATGGTCGAAGCCTTTCGACTTCGTGGTTGGGGTCTGAAAGACGAGTTACACGCTTGGCTAAATATACCTGTTGGCATGACGAAGAGCGACCTCACTGTCTGTCTCACCCCAACCCGCTTGGCCTCCAATCCAACCACGATCTCAATATCGATGCGTGATATAGAAAGCACAGCACGATGTTATTCGTCTTAGTTTGCTCTGTTTGCCGCCTTTGTCTTCTTATTTAAAGAAAAAAATCGTCAGCCGTACGCCGTAACGGCGCTTCGCTGTGACGGGACCACCACCAGTCGCGCGCAGGCTGAGTATACCGCTAGGACGCCCAACCCAACTTATGGTTTCAAATCAGGCGCGCAGACCACTCGGTCACCGGACGAGTGCACCGTATTGTGTTTGCACCGCATTGCGGCACATTAGCTAAGGTGACTATCACCTCTAGCTGACGCGCGACGTGTGGTTACGTCTGACTGGGTGTGCGGCTGATACCACTTGCAAACAAGGAGCGCCAAGTAGCGCCAACCCAAGCACCGAGTTTCGTATACATCAGTAAATGTAGCTATTGGTATCAAGTGACAAATGATCATTTATTTCTTTGTCCATCTATCTGCAGCAGTGGGTCCGTGGTTGTATTGCATTTCCTCAGTCAACCAGCCTCTGAATCAAGTACTGTGGTATGAAAACTTACATGGTCGTTCATCATCCTCCCGACCGATAATTCCAGTGCTGGATCAGTCTAGGTTCGACTGACCACTCTATAAGCAAGCAACTGAAACAACACGCATACAAAAATGTCAACATGATTACTGAAGCCTTACCTTTCAGGTCCCGATGAAGGATCCCGTGTTTGTGTAGATAGGCCAGTCCTCGTACGACTTGAACGCCATAGGCCAACGTGACCGACTCATTGAACGCTCCGTACTGTCTCAGGAGATCATTCACACTTCCACCAGGCATCCATTCGATAAACAGGTCTACAAGACCACGTTGAGAGCAGCACACGGCTCCAAACAGGCGCAACACATTGGGATGGTTCAGCTGGAGCATTATGTTCACTTCCGCTTGAACCTCGGCCAATTGAGCTGTAGCTTCTGCAGTCAGAATGCCACAGCTTTTTTGGGGAGCTTTCCCATTCTGGTGCGCATTCTTTTGATCTACGTCGACTTCTGATTGACTGTGGCGCTTGTCTGTGTGATGCGTCTTCTTCGCTTTCGCCTTGTTCGCACGGATCGGGAGTACAGATCCTCCACCAAGACGAATACGCTTCACCGCCATCAATAAACCAGTCCTTGTATCGCGAGCCTGGTAGCATTGTGAAAATGCACCGTGACCGAGAATCGGTCCACGGACCCAATCAATGGACTCGTAATATTCATCCGCGCTCGGTAGTGTGTTGGTTGAGCGAAACGCATCCATTACAATTGACAAAGCGGGAACTGGCAATAGGGGTTTCAGTGATCGAGAACTCCGGCGCAAAGCAGAACGTAAGACGGCCGCTTGTTCAGTCTGTAACTCTGCTTCAGATCCAAGTGATCGTCCCCCGTAGGTCGGTTCATCGGAGAGAATCGTTCGTTCGAATTCATCAGCGCGATCCATTTGTCTATCTCTTTCTGCTTCCGCGTCCTCATCTTCACATTCGCTGACACCGATGTAGTTACCAGAAGCCGATAACGCGACAAGGTCATATGCTGGTTCCAAGGCCACTCGGACGAAATGGGAAGGTTCGGCGGTTTGACCCTCATCCAACTCTACGGGATCTTGCGAACGATAGTCATTGTTTGGCACAAATCGTAAAAATCGTCTTGGAGGAGGGAGCGGTGGTCTCTCAAGTAAGTCGGTTGATGGGGACACAGGAGGCTGATAGGTGGATCTTTTTGGTGAGCTAGAATTGGTTCGGTTTGGTGTTGCCTGTGGCTCCACCAGCTCCACTGCTGAGGGCATGCTGCTTAACGTTTGCGAAACCGGAAGTCTCGCTTTATCTTTTTCCAAACAATTTGCATCTCCTTGTAGCATATGCGGTGCGTCGCTGACTGTCATGCGTATAGGGATAAGTGGAATCTCCGGGTTGAGAACCAGATTGGGATACAACAGTGGAGCCAATTTACTCCTAAGCCAAGCTGCTAAAGGAGCTTCGGTCCGGTTGATTTCAAGTTCTACAAACTCACGTGGACAAAATTCATGAGTCGAGTAAACTGCCGGTGGATTAATGTTGCCGTGTCCCCCTCCATTGCCAAACACACGATTCCCATAGGTTAACAGAGCACGGGAAGCAGTCAGAAAAACGCGGCGAGCCTGTAAAAAGAAGAGAATGAAATGCTCAGCAGCACTGATCGCAGTAAATAGTCAAACCCATATTCTTAGTGTTAAACGGAGTAGAATGCATACTGGTCTCACCTACAAATCACAGGCAGCGAATAAAACGTACGCCTGAGCTACAGCAGGTTGCAAGATAAAACGCAGCGAGCCCACTTTTTACTGCGCTGGTTAGTCCTGAGATCCTTTAACACTACAGCATCTAAACCAACCGTCTCCTGATGGAATGATGAAAACAAACGTCAAAAAAGATAACAGATGGAATCGACACGTGTGGGGACAAGCGTGGTTCGCTTAGTAGGCCTGCGAACAAGTTTATATCACGAGGTTAACAGCGAATAGATCCTGCTAATGGGAAAATGCGCATCTGTGCGGTCTCTAAATGCCTGTATGTGTGTACGGTTATGACAACACTGAGAAACACGGCCAAGTCCCTTCTAGTTAGTGTTGGTGCCAAGCGAATTCTAGGCTGTAAGTTGAACGCTAACAGTATATTGCAACTGAAGACGAAATGGAGAAACATTTATTACTACTACGCGCTGAGTTGATACGGATCAAGCGATTCAAAGGTTGGAGTGGCCGGGTGATTTTCGGTGACTTTAACAAGTAAAACACAGGGTTGCAAAGAGATCTCTTTTCAGTAGTTCACATCAACCAATTACAGCTACAGGAATGATAAATGCAACAGTAAACTAGTGAAGGCAACAATGAGAACGAATGGGACCGTTTGAACAGACTTAGCATGTCCATTCGACGCTCAAATCGACTTAATCAGGTGGCATCGTGATATGGCTAAAGAACTTGTATAAACAGAGGAGGCAAAAATACTAACAATTTAAAAATTACACAATTACATAAGTAAACAACACCCGGTTATGCGTAATACTCCGGGGGAAAACTTATCATCAGGGCCATGGCAAAGTCAAGGGTTGTACAAGCACCCTATGCTTGCATTGCTCTGGTTGTGTTAGCAGGGTCGCGATGACTTCAACCGTCTGCAAGAGGCGTTTCCTTAACCCTTTCGGGTATCGTCTCGGTACGGCATAATAGATCTTGAAGGCATCTTTGGTCAACATCTGATGCCCACTTTGGAGCAAATGTTCCGAGATCGAGCATTTGATACTTTTGAGCGTGCCTCTCCGCAGTGACCCTCGACAATGCTCGGTCATCCTTACCGATAAACGCCTGGTCGTATGTCCGAGGTACTTGGCACCACAGGTGCAAGTAAATTGGTAAACAATGTACGATTCAGATGACACTGACAGTGGCTTTAAGACGCTGAGCTATAAAGGGTGCGGTCTTCGCAAGCACCCGCGGGTGGGCGGCCGGGTAAGTCCTTGCTAAGACCTTAGAAAGTCTTCTGTTCAGGAGATCGAAGGCGATATCTCCCTTAGAAGGGACTGAGAGAAAAACATCCTTTTTCGAAACCGCTGCTACGGGCTTAAGGCTCTTACGGGTCAGGGCGTACTTTTTGATGAAAGACTCATGATAACCATTCGAAGGAAGCGTTTTCACAATTCGGTCCTTCTCACCCTCGAGTGTTTCAGGACTACAAATTTTGGTGGCCCGGTAATACAAGCAACGCACTAAGTTGCGTTTGTACTTCAGAGGGACGAAGCTCGAAAAGTGTGTGTACTGTACAAGCCATGTAGCTTTGCGGAAGCCAATACGCTCAATTGATCCGTCCTTGCGTCTCCTCAACAAAACGTCCAGAAAAGCCAGCTTACCTACATTTTTCATTTCACTAGTGAACTTCCTTGTGGGATGTGCACTGTTGAACTGGTCAAGCACACGGTTGATATCAGTGCGAGAATCACAGATGATGAAAGTGTCATCCATAACCTCCAATAACAATCAAATGAGGCAATAACCACTTGGAAGCGGCCACGCTCAAGCTTAGAGAGAAAGATGTCGGCAAGGAGGGATCCAAGGGGGTCCCATCGCCACGCCATCGATTTGTGTAATAGATTCCGCCAAACAAGAATCGTCTATTAAAGGTACACCGCATAAGTAACTCCTTGAGCTTAGGCAATGGAATGCCAACCTTTAGGTTCCTTTCGGTTATATACTCGCCGATGGAATTAACAGTTTCCAGCAATGGGACGTTTATGAAAAGGGATTCTACATCAAAAGAAAGCATCAGTTCACCATTTAACTTCAGATCTTTAGCTTTATCAATGAATTCGAACGAATCATTCAAAGAATGGATAGACAGCTCCGTACGTACAGGTTCCAATAAGTACACAATCCATTTCGCAACTAAGTGGTATGCAGAAGCAATGTCAATTATTAAACCTAGAGGGACCTATGGCTTGTGTACTTTAGACAACGTGTAGAGCCGAGGAGGTTGGGAGCCAACAGGAATTAACTGCTGCAGCCGAACATCGGTCATCAAGTTCGGCAGTTTTAATTCTGTCAAGATCCTTGTACTCTTTGCTTCATCGTCAGCCGTCTTGTCCTTCTGGATGGTGTCACGCAAAACTTACCTGTGTCTTGCAAGATATAATTCCATTATCGTCACTTTTAAGATAAAATGTAATTTTGAAATGTAATCTGATTTGTCCAGTAGCACCCATCCCGATCCTTTATCAGGTTAGGTGTTGCCAAGTACCTCGGACATACGACCAGGCGGTTATCGGTAAGGATGACCGAGCATTGTCGAGGGTCACTGCGGAGAGGCACGCTCAAAAGTATCAAATGCTCGATCTCGGAACATTTGCTTCAAAGTGGGCATCAGATGTTGACCAAAGATGCCTTCAAGATCTATTATGCCGTACCGAGACGATACCCGAAAGGGTTAAGGAAACGCCTCTTGCAGACGGCTGTAGCCATCACGATCATACTAACACAACCAGAGCTATGCAAGTATTGTGTGCTTGTACAACCCTTGCCTTTGCCATGGCCCTGATGATAAGTTTTCCCCCGGAGTATTACGCATAACCGGGTGTTGTTTACTTATGTAATTGTGTAATTTTTAAATTGTTAGTATTTTTGCCTCCTCTGTTTATACAAGTTCTTTAGCCATATCACGATGTCACCTGATTAAGTCGATTTGAGCGTCGAACGGACATGCTAAGTCTGTTCAAACGGTCCCATTCGTCCTCATTGTTGCCTTCACTAGTTTACTGTTGCATTTATCATTCCTGTAGCTGTAATTGGTTGATGTGAACTACTGAAAAGAGATCTCTTTGCAACCCTGTGTTTTACTTTTCCATGGGCATTATCTAAGAATTAAAAAAGTGTAAGGGACCCTCCGTCTTTGAGAAAACTGTTCACAGACAAACTAAGTTTGACAGCCACCGCACATCGGGAAGAGCGCTGGATGACAGTCACACCTTAGCGTGATTCGCCAGTAGCGCGCATTCATCAGATATTTCTTGATCCTAGCCTATGACCTAATTATTGGGAGCCAGCGAACTACGCTGCTGAGCCAGGGGCGACGGCGCTGAATGTCACGGCACGGCTCAGTCTCCACCCTCAGTTATGTTATGGACTGAACAGGACACATCTGGCCCCCCAGAGCCACTACTCCCATTGCAAGCCGCCATCAAGTGAGGTAGTGGGTATCTTCTTTGAGTACTACTGTTTGATGGATAGTAGCAGGGGCGTTTTTGGTGCCTTCGTGAGGGTCCGGCGCAGGTAATTTGAGTGCCATCTTCATCTGAGCAAAACGCGATCACCATGGAGATTTAACTTCGGTCGATTAGTGAATCAAATGAGAACCGCTCATGAACGGGCTATCGCGAGAAAATGTATATACTAAAAATTCGTTGGACTACACGTAGAATACGTCCTCCAGGCGTGGCACTCGTGGCAGAAACAGGATCTTGGTACTCTCAGGACCCCTCAACGAAAGGCATCTAGGAATGTTCCGGGCCCCTACCATACCAGCTTAGATTGAAGTCCATAGGAAGGTGCAGCAGTAGAAGTCTGTGTTTGTGTGGGGACCCCATTATGGTGTACTAGATCCTGCAGAACCCAAACAATATTTGCCGTCCGCTGCTGGAACTGAACAACAAAGCTAACCTAAGAGGTCATCAGTTGAAGTTAACAAGATATTATAGACGGTTGGAATGCCATCGAAATTTCTTCTCGCTTCGGGGGTGTCAACCGTGGAATGCTCTCCAAAAGTATGTTGTCTCTACTCCCAACCTAATGAGATCTAAAAAACGACTTGAGGTGTGACAAAATTACGAAGGTCTGGCGCACGACCACGTGGAGTTTGGAAGTGCTATTAAACATATGCATGTAAGTGCAGTTTCCTGTTCATAAGGATGAAGAAGCGGACTGGATCGAAGCGTTTCGTTGTTGCTCCATAAAACATGTCAGTAAGTCTCGAAGTTGCTTGACGCTCCAGCCATAAGGTAACTGTCGCGCTGCCCACAGACTTAAATGTTCGCGGTAATTTTTTATTTTGAAACTACTTCCAAATTGTGAGTAGAGCAATAACCTAGCTCCATTACTGCGATTAGCTGCCATGTCGTAAACGAGGTAGCAAGTGAACTTACCACTCTGCTGGCCTTCAGTTGGGTGTTATACAAACTGTCCAGAGCAAGGTTGACTTGTGTTTCACAGAGACCGGTTGTTACCTCGATTCCCGTGGCCTCTGTTCCAGGCGAGCAGTGTGTGGGATTTAAGCGAAGAGTGGGGTGCTGTTTAGAAATAGAACCGACAGATTGTTCGGAATTCGGCACCGGAGGTAACAAATGCCGACGAGCAAAAACCAACCCAGAGCAAAGGTGACGTCTGGCTAACCGGTCTGCAGAAAGAGGTGCAGGATGATTATTTTGAAGTAGTCGGGCAAATCCCGGATCGTCCCGTCGAGACTGGTGCGCCGAGGCATCTTCCACGGGTTGACAACCGATCCCTTGGTCTATACGTATCAACTTGTCCAGAAGCGTTAGTCGGCCGATCAGATGCGTTGCATGAAATTTGGCAGAGCTGAGCACGAATCGTGTCATATGTTGCAAACCACAAACGGGTATACACTGGTTTGCTGAGGAGGAGTTGGAAAATATACATTACAAATTGATGCGAAATAACACACCTGAAATGAAGTATGCTATTACACAGCAAAACATGATACCAGATTATTTAATCTGATGAACTAAGGTACTGTGCTGTCGTTTACTCTATATAGCTTTCAAGTACAGTGAAACAACAACAGGAAGTCCGAGTTGTTAATTACTGACTCTCCCAATAGGTTGTTGAGATGCGCTTTGAGAGAGGTAAAAAGCTTAATGCATCCACAGTTTTGACAACAGTTGAAACCTAAAGGGAAATAGTGGTGATTAAATAAATTAAAACTACTCTAATTTCTCCTATCGATAAACCATGGTGCTGCAACGCCATCGTGCGAGCTCAGACTTTACGGATGACGCATGAAAGTCCCTGATGCTTGCTTTAGGTTGGGTCGACGCAGAATGGAATGCGTCTAGCCAAACAATTCCGTAACAACATCAACATCATCTAACTTATCCAGCAGTAACAACTGTGAATCGTCACTGTCTTGCACAAGGGCGTTAAATAAAATAGGTTCGATTTAGAACAGCTTGTTACTTTTGATAGGATGACGCAAAACGGAGGGCCTCTGGCCGCTTAGTTACGTGTGGTTAACAATAGACGGTGAGCTTAATCGGCTACTGACATATTTAGTCTGGCAGATATTAATGCAGAGGAGAAAGAGACAAAGAGAATCTGCGTTCTTATCTGATGAAGCGTAAACAGAGTACGAAAATTCTCCTCCAGATCGTGAAAGACCCAATATTTTTGCGAAACACGTAGATTTAACGCACATGTCTTGCTCAGTGATATCTGAAACCAAGCTGATCTGCCAAACATGCAATAACGAATTTATTTACTCCCCATAAGCAACCAAAACGAAGGAGCTGGGTGGCGAACGTTAGTGTGTGATTGCCTTCTAGTTGGCCATTGCTTTTCTCATTGATAAATCTCTTTTATTCTAACTAAAGGATTTATCGAATTCATGAAACACTTTTTCCATTTTGTTTATCTGCACGATTTTTGACTTCGAGGTTGTACTATTCCGTCAACGTTTTGAAATCTCTCCGTGATATTGCTCCATTTCCGTGTATTATACAACATGCTCACAAAGTCCGAAATACTTTTAAACGAGTTATGCTAAAGCAATCTTGTAAATTGAGAAAACACCGTGTTGGCTGGTAAGTAAACCTTAGACGTCGCTCAGTTGACATGACACAAATTCCACTGATCTTGTCCAGCAATATTCGATTACTTCTTGGAAAAATGGCGGCACTTACCGCTTTTATACAGCAAACTAAATATTCGAATGCAACCATTTTGATGCTACAAGTAAGCTGGTTACCTGCTGATGTGGAAGACAATGTTATCCAACTTGCTGGTGATCTTCTCATCGGATCCGACCGTTCCGGAATGCCTCAGAATCGTGGAGTGGGTGTCATTAGTTACGTCCATCAACGCTGGTGTTGCTCTCGATCCATAAATTTTACCTACTTAATAGTCACAATCAGCTGCCATTTGATTGAATGTAAGCCAAAAATTTTGTGTGCTTTCCTTTCTTTTAGTATTGGGAATGTGTACGTATCCCGCGGCACACAAGCATCAGTGATGAAATGTTTTGCGTTACTGCCTAAACTTGACCGCTCAGTCTGTGTCATCGCCGGGGGACTTCAATAAGAGTGATACCTCATTTATCCAGGCAGTGGACTTGAATAACATAGTGGCCTTTCCGACGAGATTTGAAGCGCAACTAGATTTCGTCTTCACAAATCATGTCTGGCTGTTTTCAGAACAAAACCTGCCTCACTCGGTAACTCATATCATTGTGTCATAAAAGTGTGCCCTGTCGTTTGCGGTAAAACTCACTACGGGTCATAGGCTAATAGGTCCTTCAAACTGTGAGGCGACGAGGCTGTTCAGCATCCAATATTGCGTGACTTCAGGAAATGCAGACTTCTAATGATTTTACAGCTTTCAACAATGAAGATTTGGCTATTCAGTGTGATCAGTTCACTATCTTAATTTTTGTTTCGATCTTTGCTGCCCTGTCGAAACCATCTAGTTACGAGTCGATGGATTCTCCTCATCATCACTCAGACAACAGAAGAAAAATCGAACGAGCCTACAAATGTAAAATGACTGCTCGCGAAATACAACTCTCTAGGAATAAAAATTAAGATTTCACGAATGAATAACGTTTACATCAAAGCCGTTTTATGCAATCACAGTTGCCTAGACTTATGGAGACTTTTAAGGCAGCTGTGTGGTAAAAGTTCCAATAATCAGATTAGATCTGTGAATGTAGAGAAACTCAATTCTTCGTTTTGTTCTTCTTCATAGGAAGCATCCTCTAACCCTTCATTCTCTCTATCAGTTCTCTGACTCTGGTCCAAAATTACATTCCAACACGTTGAATTCAAACGTGAACTCAGAAATCTGAATTCAAGAAAGGCTAGTGGGCCCGATGCTCTTTCACCAGTTGTCTTGAAAGAGTTTGCCAATACCTTCACCATGCCCTTGACGGATCTTTTTAGTCGGTGCCTACACGGTGGAGTTATTCACGATATTTGAAGGGCAGTCAGGATAACACTTGTTCCAACGAAGGGTTCCACCAAGTTCCGTCCGATTGCCTGTACGTTCGTCATGTTAAAAGTCTTCGAGCGACTACTTGCGCCTTGGATCACAATAAGCACTCCAGCCGTGGACGTATCTCAGTTTACGTACAGTGACGTTCTAGGTTGGATGTAGTATAACTTGTTCACTCTATATCTTCATTGGATGCGAAACTCAGAAATGTGCAGCTCCTCTTTTTTGATTACACTAACGCTATTAGAAGTGTCGACAGATAAATCTTGTTTAATCAGCTGTCTGGGAATGGTGTCCAACCATTAGTGTGCAAGCTGGTGAGCAACTACTTCGTAAACCGAACTCATTTTATCAATCTAAGCGGTAAAAGTCCCATACTCTTAATAATGAATGGGGCGTATTACAAGGAGCAATCCTCTCTTTTCTATTCTCTCTAGACATCGAAACGCGTCCAATTCCCGCAACTTCATCGGATGTAAGTACGCTGACGACATAGTCTTAGGTAGCATGGCTCCAACTGCTGCATCATCTATGGCTCTCCAAATCGGGTTGGACGAGCTTCAGCAGTGGTTGTCGTCCTGATCCCCTTAGTTTCAACGCTTCTAAATGCCGCGATGTAACTTTTTCTTTCCTCCACACCGACAAACGTCTGACTGCAGCAAACACCACTCGTAAACAACCACAGCATGACTAGTTAATCCATCGTTAAGTATCTTGGTGTATATAAATCCAACAATCTATCTTGATCAACACACGTTGATGAAACATTCCGAAAAGTGCGAAAATTATGATCCTATGCCCTGTAACTCAAAATTCTTTCAGTACCCTGCTCTTAAATCTACAAATTCGTGACTGCCTGTATTCTAGCCCATTGATTATATTGCTCACCTATCATTTTTCCTGGTCTTTTACAAAATAACCACATTGATTGTACGTTCCATTAAGCTCATTTCCAGGTGTAGCGGATTGTCCGCGAGTCTCTGGTTGACGTCATCGTTACTAAGCCCCTAAGTGCATGTGATAACTTATCAGCAAATGTTTTAGGTGACCCTATTCATTCCCTCCAAGCTGATTTATCTAAAAACCTCTCCTGCTCGTCTATCCGCTCTAAATTTAGGGTTTTGTTTTCACGCACAACACGTGATCAAAACTCGACCATACCGTATCTAGCTCGTTTTCTGGTGGACTCGGAGGAATTTCTCAACACCACGTGTGAACGCCTACTCGAGTAATGTGTATGCATGTTTTCTTTTTTGTATGCTTTTATTGCAATTTTATGCTAATATTATACCTCATTACCACTGCAGTGCTAGTGTACAAATGCTGAAAATGTTCCCAGTCCGGTTCATGAAGCTTGTTTTGACTTCACTTGACTTGGCTTGAGTGGGACTTGAGAGTGTACTATTAGATTAGAGATGAGTGGCCCTTGACAGTGTAGTGCAACAGTCCTAACCGTTTAATCCTAGAGTGATCGAAGGAAATATTGGTTGTGTTATTTGGTTGCAAAAAGGTTGGGAACATATCCGACGGGAACGCTGCGAAACAATTGAATAATAATAATTAATAATAATAAGAATGTGTCAGCTGTACGGCGTAACGGCGCTTCGCTGCTGCGCGACCACAACCAGTCGCGAGCGGGCTGAGTATACCGCGAGGACGCCTACCCCTACGCGGATTCGAACCGGTGACCTTATGGTTGCAAAGCAAACAATCGAAAGGGAACTAAGTAATGGTAAATCACTTCCGGACTCAATAGTGACGATCTTTCTCGTGGCAAAGTTAAAAGACAACCGGTGATCCCGTTACTGAATGGGAAGGTTGTGAGTTCGAGCTCAATTGCTCCTGAAAGCTCTCTTCGTTTGTTGACTACCTGTTGATTGCCTTCCCACCGAATTTAATTGTTGTGTCGCATAATGCGATGGGATATACAATCGGAGTGAGTGACCAGACGGATTCGTAGGACGAAGTGAACAGCAAGATTGATGCGAACCGAAGAGAGTCGGTGAGAGGACGCATCAGCTTTACCCGATCGTCGACGCGGCTCCGATTACTAGTTGATATTTATCCACGTTACAGCGAGTTTGATCAACTGACTCGTAAAAAGACTCTAACGAGTAGATCAATCGGATTGTGAATGTCATCGACCTAACTATATGTACCAAACAATGTAAGGGCAAATGTTCCTGTCACGGTTCGTTAAAATTGCCTTGTTAAATAAAGTCTTTTAGCATAAGGAACGAGCTTTGCGATATATAGTAACCCTAAGAATTTTAAAACAGCGGGTCCCCTTCAACCATTTCGTTAAGGCAGAGAGAAGACAGAGGTTGCGATATGTCAACATTTCCATTGTTCTCTTCCGTCGCAAACACAATGCGAGCAGAAACACACAAACGAATATATACATGGAAAAACAAGTGATACCAATCAAAATGTCACAGCCAAGGCAACCGAATTGATTACCTCAAGAGTTTCTGTGCACCTAGTACAGGTTGATGGACCTTAAATGACAACGCCTCACTAATTGCCAATATTATCGGGTTTTTGTTGCATACTAACACTTTGAACGCTGTCTCAGGTTTCATGTGATGACGGGTTGCCAAGACGTACTTGGTGGTACTCGGTGGAATAACAAAGTTGCCTGGCGTTTTTGGATATACTCATTAGGAGACGAGCTGAAGGTACATTGCAGCGCACTGTTCACCGCAAACGGACCTGGAGTGGACAGTACCTTCATTTTCAAGTTCCGCCCCGATCTCATACAAACGCGGCTTAGTGAAACTTTCTTCTACCGGGCTAGACGTATCTACAGACCCGAAAGGTTAAAAGCTGAAGAAGAAATGTTACACAAGACCTTAATTTCTAATGGGTATCCTGAGAATATTCAAGTACACAGCAGGCCCCGCAGGGTGAAAGCACCGGCGCTGTTGGCTGAGAAAAAGGATGTTTATTTTTACTTGCTGTTCAAGGGGGACCATGTGGCAAATGATATCGAACACAAGCTCCGGTCCGCGCTAACGCGCACCTACACGACAGCCCAGTTGCGTCTCAAGCATACCACGCGAGGAGCAGTTCTTCATAACCGTCAGAGCATCTCGTCGGGTAGTTCAGCCTCTCAGGTAGTTCATCAGTTCACCTGTGGTTACGGTGACATTTACGTAGGCAGAACAAACCGTTAGTTAGCTCAGAGGGTAACTGAACATTTGCCAAAGTGGGTGGGACAAGTGATTACGTAACAAAATGGGACGAATCAGAGAATTAATCGGAGCCCGGTATCGTTTATCACCAAGCGCCACATGGCAGCCCGTCATCACGTGAAACCTGAGACAGCGTTCAAAGTGTTAGTATGCAACAAAAACCCGATAATATTGGCAATTAGTGAGGCGTTGTCATTTAAAGTCCATCAGCCTGTACTAGGTGCACAGAAACTCTTGAGGTAATCAATTCGGTTACCTTGGCTGTGACATTTTGATTGGTATCACTTGTTTTTCCATGTATATATTCGTTTGTGTGTTTCTGCTCGCATTGTGTTTGCGACGGAAGAGAACAATGGAAATGTTGACATATCGCAACCTCTGTCTTCTCTCTGCCTTGACTCTAAGAATTGTTTACTTGCTTACTGTAATTGATGAACACTAAACGGTGAGGCACAGTACTCTCGTTCAGCCGCATGGTAGGGACTGCGTGACACTTGGTGAGTTCCAGTCATCGAATCCGGTATTCCCAACGATCATCTAGCATCGACAACCACCGACATTGTAAAAAGCCTAAGAAGAGCCCTTAGTAAATTACTCTGATTGCCATGCATAAATGTTATATATGATCGTTAAAGAGGCTCTGATTACGGTTAGTATTTGTGAAACGGATCCACTACACGCATAGTCTGACGACAGGTCAAAAAGACTTACCACAACCCACATCTCGCCCTATTGCAAGCGCACCGGACTGACCCTTGGCTAATTCTACCAGTGTAGCCAATGCTAGATTGGCGCGGTCACGTAGATTAGCATCCGGTGGGGACACACGTTCTATAGTTGGACTCCGGCAAGAAGGATTCGTCGTTGTATCGAGCGAAGTGGGACCCAACGTAGTCGGCGTTCCGGGAGTGCTTTTGGCTAGGTCTGCACTTTTATCGGCGGAGGTCGTGGAACTCTGACGTGTCACCGAGGAAGTCGTAACTCCAGAGGTGTGGTCTCGCAAAGCCCATAGTACACTTGGCCCACCGACAAAACGTAGCAACCTTCTCAGTATGGGGCCGATGGCTCTTTGGAGCGCTATCTGCGTTTCGGCATTGAAGCACACCAAGTATCCAAGCAGCTCGCGAAAGGCACGCTAGTGGGAACGTGAAATAATCGTATAGCCAGTATACATATTTGCCTGAAAAATCATATAGCATTCATTGTGATTAATAGCCCAGCAACTGTACCAAAGAAGTTGTGAAGAGCCATTTTAATCTTCGCTTACAGCTGCATAAATGATTAACTAATGCATCCGAAGGGGAATGGAGATGATGGTTGTGTGAACTTTAAATGCAAAGTGTATTCTGCTACTGTCAATTTATTAGTAACTTGCTGACATGCACAATTCCTTGTCTGTCGTATTGTGCCATATTTCGTTTCTGCATCAGCGCAGACACGCAAAATATAATGAACTGACAGTTTCACGAGTGTCTAATATTATTCATTAAGTTTCCCAATTTATGATCTAATCGACTGCAAACGTTCTTTAGTTTACCGTATGCCATTTACAGAGTCTCCGCATTTCATTCCAAATTTGTGAAACTAGGCTTGCTGAGGTGAACTGTCACTCCACCCCAGCATATATGCGAGTGAACAGAGAACAGTAGATATTTTTGTGAATAACATAACTTGTATCATCTGCAGGATATTTCATCCGTAGATATCTAATAAAATATCATAGCAGTAAATGGCGGGGTGTCCCTAACCGGCAGCAGTTTATGGCAATGTTGAGAAAGAGGAGATTAGTGATGTGTTTAGTAGCCTAGCTACTGGCCTATTCAGATCAGTCATTAACACTGGCTGCTAACTCACACTTAGTAATTGTACTACGTCAGGAGTGCGGTTACCGCTGGGCAATGCACTGAACTGGATGATGATCAGTTAGAAGCAATCATTCCGATGAGTTCCAATGGAATGAAAATATCGTCTTCTACGCCATCCGATACTCAAAAGGGATTTGGATCGTACAGAAAGTGCGAAGTAAATAGAGTAAGGAATGAGTAGGCGCAGTTCACCACCAGGTTGAGACAAACACCGTCTGGATAGTGACGAAAAGGGTGCGACTGGGCCCACAGCACATAGTCGCTCAGCTGTCGATGACGATGGCATATCCTAAGGGGAAGTGCATTCTGTAATTTAGTGTGCGAACAGATATCAAGCGCCATCCAAAGGAATTAACGTCACCAGACGTGTAACAGGAAGACCCGCAAAGGTGTGTTTGAGACGGAAATAATTGGGTTACTAGGACCTCGAGTGGGATTTAGCCAAATGCGATGGTGGAACTATGTTAGAGACTACAAAAACTGATTTCTGTTGAACATTTCCAATAATCTCCAACCGAGTTAAAATAAAAATTCGGCGATTCTAACGAGAAAGGCACTATATAGGATGCATGCACTCTTTCAAGAATGTAACTTCAGTCGTAGTTTGAGTCCAATTGGATAGCTAGGCAAGCTGCCAAGCTGGTCAAAATAGGTTAGCCAGACGAACGCCGCACATCTATACAAGCGCTAGAGGGACGTCTATTCTTGTCGAGACACTTCAAAGATGCTTATTTCCCGTGAATCGTATGGGGTTCGAACCCACGGCTGCTCTCTTACGAGGAAAAGACAAGCCACCAAGCCGTGAGTGACAGAGACCAACCGCCGAAATTTATTGCGTACAGAGTTACAGCGCGGCTCATCCCCAACCATTATGCAGTTGGCCAGTGTGCGGAGGACACGGCTGGCTCTTAAAACCGCAGTTTCTCTTTATACCGGTTGTGGAGACTACTAGGGGTTAAAAATGTAAGCTTCAAAAAATCGCTTAGGATAGTTGGACAACGCGTAGGGCACCGATTCGCGGCCTCCGACAGGGGATCAATGAGCGACAAGGATCGGAGTTGGTGTGTAGGCACCGGAGAAACAAAAAAGCCACAGTCGATGCTGAACTACGGTGTTCTATTATACAAAGAGTAAAAGATCAAAGTGACAACATACTTCAACAATGTCCTCAAACAAAGACAAGTACAATCAGTTGGCCGTTACAAGAACAGGACATCAATACGGTCGTCCAGTCAGAAAAATGACCCAGCGCGGTTACATGACATGCGAGACATGCACCAGTGAGCCAATCAAGAAACCAACAGCCACTAGTCCAATCACATCAAGCAGGTTCAATGGGGGACACATTATGAAGACCTGAGGTTAGGGGCACATGTCAGCCGGATGGGTGGTGTATCCACCCCACAAAATCTCCGGTCTACCCTGACCTCAATAGTAACACGCAAATGGAACAAGTGCGAAGCAGTGATCGATAAAGTGGAGCATGCATCAAAGAAAGTAGCGAGACAGGTGGTGTCACCAATGTAAGGTGGGCATGGAAAACAAACGACTAAGGGTCATGCAGGGCGGTATACGTGGAACGTTCAAACAGAGTGAATTCACGGGGAATTAGGGCAATAATGTGGGTCCAGGCGAAGGGTGATGGCTGTTGACAAAATGGACGTTACAAAAAATACTAGGAGATTTTTGTACATTTTGGAAAAGAACGTTGCAACCGTATTCACCAGATGTGTACGACCGATGAAAAAGTGCGCTTCGTCTGTTGAGGCCCACGTTGTTTTCTGCACTTTGGTACAGTGCAGGTGCTACAGCACAAGACACGTAACCTAATCACTCATTTCATGACAAGTAACTTCTGGGTATTCAACATCTCAATATATTTAGAACCGATCTAGAATACATGAATTCAGAAGGGTTTGAAAATAGCGATTAGAAGGCAACGTTTCGCGTTTGACGCAAAAGCTTCGTCAGCTCAAGTAAACCAGTGGATGATTGGTGTAACATATGTGGCGAACTGGGAGGACAACCGTGACGGCCAAAGTGTAAATGCGATGGTAATCACGTTGCAAGTCAGTGTCATTTCAATTGACACAGTAGGGATGGTAAGATCCTTTAAGTTTCCTGTGCGGTCTAATCACACGTAATTCACTGTCAGTGATGGGGGTAGGGGTGTTTTGATGTTTGCACTCTGCTTCAAATCTGTCCGCCGACACTCCTCACATTCGATAAATAATAATGTGTCAGCTGCACGCCGTAACGGCGCTACGCTGACGCGCGACCACCACCAGTCGCGCGCGGGCTGAGTATACCACGAGGACGCCCACCCCTACGCGGATTCACATTCGATAACAATCTCATCCACTCTGTTTACTCAGCTGTTGACTGGCAATGTCCAAGATCTCAGCAGTCAGCTTTTGGGAGATTGATCGTAAGCTCAGTCTAGTATTCTCGACATTATCCAAGTCGATTTTATGCCGCTAGAGCACTGCGCATGGGGTTAGCGAAATACAATAGAAGCTTGTCACGGACACTGAGAAACGAGCTTTAATACAGGGCTGAGGCGTTGGAAATTGCCAAAGCCAACAGCTGCGTGAACAGAATGGATGGGGTAGAGTTCGTAGAGTTCGCCATGAATGCTAGGCCAATCGCCCACTGCTTCATTTCTGGGTAACTAAACAGAGATATTTGGTCTGAGGTATGTGTGACACTTTCCTAGCGCCAGTCCTGCAGTGAAGCTATGACCAATATAACCCAACTAGGACGAAATGCAGCATACCCATCAGTCATAGAATTTCCCGTTACATAAGGGGATAGAAATAAAGGCAGACAAGTTTAACACTACCAAGGTCAGGCTGGTAATTCCGTGCTTAGCGCGGACCTGGCAACAACTTTCCTTGAATATCGACATTATACTCGAATCATCGGAGAGTTGGCTAATAGGAACTCTTCCGCCATATCAGTTAGAACAGATGGGTCGGATCCCTGCACAGAACCACGCCACTGGAGTTAAGTAGTACTGATTCAAGAAAGTCAATAGCAGTAGCGCGGAGAATGTAGCCGCAGTTCATATCCCAGTTTTAATTGGCAAGTTTAGATTAAACGGCAACATTTCAACCTGAGCCGCATGACCGAAACAGCATTCATTAAGGCTGAGATAAAAAGCCTACCATACTCTTAGACTCTAGACTCGAGATACTCGAAAGTAACTTGCGTTTTCATTTATAAGGTACGGACAGATCTGATCATAAAAATCGACGATAAGTGAGAAATGGCGCAATACACAGCGTGTCCGCGAACAGGATATACAAGAGCAGTTTTGTATGCGCCTAAATCAGTTAAGCATCACGGCCTAGTAGACAGGCGCAGACTCACCAACGAGTCGATGAAGACGGCATCCACAGGGTCGTCCAAAAGATGCTGTATCAGGCGAAACATGACACGTAGGCAATCGGGTTCCGTGGCAACAGATTGACCCTGTATGTTATTTCGAGTGGCGCGAGAGGCTATCGCGCTCTTGTCCTCCGTTTCATCATTGCGATCTGCAGACGAACGGCTTTGGGAGTACTGATGACGTTGTCTGGCCAGCAGGATGCGATGAACTGTCATTTGGGCGGCGCGTTGCAGAGCCACCTGTCTGCGTGTTGCAGAGTACCTCGAGGCGATCCCGTCGGCTACCTAATTGGATATGTAAAGTTTGACATAATGGGAAGCATTTCTAATGGAACATCTACTGCACCAAATAGCGAATACAAGAAGGAATGTTTTCAGCAGCGCAACATGGCATTCCGCTGTGTAATCATAACGAAAAATCTCAAAAGTTGACTAATTTTGCATCCTGACCACCTATAAAGTAGGTCGCTTTTTCATAGCTTGAACGTTACGCAATTAGACGTTATGAAACCACACCTCTATATGTTGATCACTTTCGTAGGTTGTATGTTGACCAATTGGGCCATAGCAGTCGGTAGTTAGTTAACCTCTATGCTGACCATGTGAAGGTCACCTAGCAATCGTTTGTTCGAAGAATAATGTGTATATAGCGGGATTATGCGATTTGTGAAATTCTCCTGACTCACAAGCACTGTACTTTAAGGTCCCTCGGACATTTGACGATACTGCCTGTCCTCTATCTGCGTATGTGCGTATGCAATTCTATGCCGCCCCGCAGCGTTTACGCGCATCGGTCTTTAATTCGTATAGTGTGTCCCCATAGACCCGTTTCCATGGATTGATCTTGACAAGTTTACGTCAACCCTTTCCTCCCTCGTCTACAAACACGGGCTCATTCATTGCAAAGATCGCAATCAGGAGTTTGAGTGCGTATGAAGCACGATTTACCAGTTTAAAGCCAAACCCATCGCAACGAAACTGGACCATAACGTGGTGCATAGTTTGCCTCCTCAGCCATCCATTGAGCTATGCTGGGCGCTGCTTTTTGCACCTACAGGGTCACAAATCAGATTAGTCAGTGGTTAGAGTTTAGACAAACTCAGTCTCCTGGCAGTTGGAGTGAGGGTTGCTCTTTACACTACAAAACGGAATCTCAGTAGCCTAGCGTCGAAACGTCGCTGCCTTGCGGTAAGGTTTTTGAACCAAAGACTGGCTGAGAACTCTAATTGTTCTCCTGTCTAGGCCCTGGCAACCTGACAGTATCTTGCCCACGCAGTACAATGCTATGAAGTTCTATCCGCATGATTTCTTGATGCTCTGGCCATCGCAGAGGATACTAAATGGTGCCATATCTGCTGCATCGAGCAGAGTGGATAGGGGTAAGGATGCTACTGCTCAGATATACCCATTTTTCATTCCACTCCAAGTTCACTTTTATCACCCTGTTTTCGACCCTCCAATTCTCGGCCCTCCTACATCTTGTTACAATAGTCGCTTGTCTTCTAGCTTTGACGCACACGCAATCGCAGGGCATCGCTCCAGTCCAGTCTATCCCTCCATATCCAACCAAGTAGAAAAATCAGTGCATTCATTTTTCTTTGGAGTCCCTCATCTTCGCTTTGACTGGCATGCCTCAATGGTGTTTGAGTTCTGAGTTATTTTTGCTGTTCCCCACCTCGCTTCTCTTCAGCTCCAATCATGCACGATCATTCTCTTGAAGTAGAATATGTGACTACGCAGTGTGTTGCCTGTTTTTTTGTATTCCGTAATGTTTAGAGTCTTGCTTTTCATATGCCCTGTCTTTATGTATTGCGGCACAATAGTTGAAGTGTGTTTCTCGCCTTCAGCTAATGTGTACTAATGATGATGATCCAAGCTAACCTGTTCAGTTACGTTTGTGAGAAGAGAAAGAAGCAGATAAAGTTGGATTTTTCAGCAACAACAAAAATGATTTAACTTTGAGGAAAGCATACTGAGCTTTGATGTGGTATACTAATGTATGATTTAACTGGGTTTGACACTACATACGAATTCATCTAGTATAGTTGAAACAGGATGTACGCGGAAACAAAATGTATACTGTGCTACTCACAATGGGAAAATAAGGTGTACTAGGTTTTTGTATAGGACTTCCATATGTTGACCACGCCCTAAGTCCAGTCCTTTGAGTGATCAACTTACGGAGGCCTCATTGTACATTTGTCGAACATTACCGCCCCATTAAAAACGCACCGAAAAAGAAAACATGTAGATAGCGCGCGATAAGAATGTAGTTGGATGGTTCTATCCGCAAGTCAAGTAAGTCGCTGGTTTCACTCCGGGGCAATTCATACCTTTCATCACACAACCAGACAGTCTGTGCGGACCAGTAAGATAAAGGAGGAATTGCGGGACTGTTCATTCTATTTCCTCAAGGCGCAATTTGAGGTTCACTCACTCCCTCTCCCAGTCGCGAACGAAGCACACAACATGAGTTGGTGATAACAAATGCTGACGAAGCATTCGTTAAGGTAATGTTCGGAAGGTTACTCCGTGTGGCAAAAAGACAGTTTGGCCCAGTTCAATACACAAGATTACAGTACCGGAGAGCAGTGACTGAAGTTTGGTTGACGCGCATTGCGGTAGAAATAAAAATGAACAACGGAAGGCAGAAAGAAAAATAGAAATGGTGCTGACCAAAACGTTGCAAGAGGAGCTCTGCAGACGCTCTACCCTGGCGAGATAACCTCTCGGCTTATTTTGAATGAAGTAGCCACATGCGCCACTTGGGATATCTGACAGTTAGTGCACCATTCCATACTGCGCATGCGGGGGATAGCATAATTGTGTGTCTCCTATTGTAGTGCGATTTGCAGAACCTGTGGAGCTATGAAGTCATGTTCTGACTGCAGCATGAGTTGTTGCTATCTAATCACTGGAACACAGACACTGCAGCTCTGTAGAAAGTAGTCTACCATTGAGCATATCCATGTTCCATACTGTATCCCACTAGTTTATGCCGCATATGCCGGCTTCAGGCATGTCACCGAAGTCACACCCATGGAACCATCATACTAAAACTTACCCTTTGCGGTTGAACCATTCATATAAGCTCCATACCTCCCAGTACGGAGCTATTAGCCCCGTAAATGTTCGGGTACTAGTTCAGCACAGAATGACTCGGGCGAAGTGGTCTGTAACTCTGGTAGAAATTGTTTTCAGAAACTGGACATTGTGCCCAGCTTTAAGCATACACTTAGGTGAAAGCTGAACGATAGCGCTGTTGGAAAAGAACGCCCTCCCTTGAACTGTAGCTACCAGAATCAAAAAGCCACAACGTCCTGACGGTATCTATAGCTTGCATTAGTCCAGTGACTTCATTAATAGTTAAAGTGGGATGGGTCCCAGGTTAATGGGTACATTGAAACATCCGATAAAACAATAGCTCGCTGCTTTACCAGGGGTAGTTCGTCAGGTGTTTTGTAACATGACAAAATGGATCATACAGACACGACCATGCGCGTGGTGACTGTCGGGATAGACATGTTTACCTAGGGAAGTTAGACTATGTCTATGACACTCATTATAAAGAAAGCGAATTGTTTTCAAAAGCTAACCGTACGTGCAAAAGCCTAGAGTGGCTTGGGCGCACAGCATTTACAGAGTGATAGCCACTTTCCTATCGGGTTGTTCCGGTCTGTTCACAGCACAACAGGCTTGTATAGTATTTTGTTAACTCACATCGCGACGTTGGGTCTGAATGCGAATGAATCACGCGAATACCAGAAAGTGACGAGTGACGTACCCAGAGGTAGTGTACGAATTATGCCAATTCTTGGCGGAAGCGACTCCCATGAAAGCTACAAATACAAGGCAATGAGCTCATTGGGATGCTCACCCCGCATGCGTGTGAGTGCGTTATTTCGGTCTGTTTGAAGGCATAAGTGGGCTCGTCATGGATTGTGTCAGTCATCACATCTACGGACATTTTTATATGCCTAGGTGTTGTACCTTCTGGGTCATTAGTATGAATTCTCAATGTAAGGTCCTGGGGCGCTCAACTAACAAGCGGCCAGCATGCTGTCGTACCAGTGCTTTGGTCCTGCGGGCAGCCACAAGTCGGAACGCTTGCACAATCGTTTGTAAATCCAATTGCATACGAAGATATTGGGAGCAAGAATATGTAAGTAGTGATTCGAGTTCACTTGGAAAGGGTCAAATTTATGATCCTCCCGTATATATCCTGGAGTGTGAAACCTAAAGCAAAGGACAGCCTGACACTGTTCTCAATCCCTGACATGACGTGAGATGTAATATTTGCGTAAACAGAGACTACTAATGCTGTTAATTAGTAGCATACTGTATGTCCAAGTGTGCCAGTCAAACTGAAATCGGAAGGCTTGCATGTTGATGCCTGGCTTGTAAGAAAGTTACGGAAACGTCTGTCTAACTGCGAAGCCGCAACCTACAGTAACAAAACAATCCCAAGGCTCGCTAGCCTAACAACCTCATCGTGGTGCCAGCAAATAATTCGGCGGCAGTGTTCCAGGTTTTCGCCTAGTAAGAGTTCATCCTGGGAAGGCCACAAATGTCTGTTTAACATTGCGACGTGGCGGACGTGAATCGTCACTAACTACAGCCGCTGCACCCGCATTTCCGGATAATAACATCCAATCTACGAACGTCACCCATCTCTGCGCACATTGGTGACGCGATCAAATGGTCAGAAAGCAGCGGCACATGTACAAACACAAGCAACACAACTGCACACATGGTTGGCGGCATCTGATTTCGGATTTGCCTGTCACTGTGGCCAGCCACAGGACGCCTGCGCCTACAGAGGGACCATGGATGGCTTGCGCTGCACCACCCACAGCTCCAACCACATACCCCATATCCAGTGTAAACCCGAAGGAATAAGACCGGGAGGCATGCGGATGGGAACCACGTTTCATCAACGGAGACGGCCCACACTCCTTCACAGGCAAACACAAGCACACTGTATTTGGGAATCAAGCGCACACAAGGCGGTGGCTGGACCGTAGTCCGCTCCACACTGACTGCATGGAACCGCTCTTTGAGCCTAGCACGGCCACAAGAACCGTGCACCCCGTCCCCTCCAGCAACGACCAACTATCTCCTGGAGCCAGTATGAACGATGTAGTGGGTAATAGACAGGTAGGCACCTTGTCAACATACACATCAAGCGCAGCCACACCGGGGATATCAAACAACATCCATTCACTTTAAACGACAAGCTGAAATAAAATAAATCCAGTAATGCATACAGATACGGTGGCATAACTCTTCGCCAAATTACCATATGAAGTAATTTGGTTAGCAACAAATCGGTGATAAGTAAGAAATGTCCACAAGTTACTTAAAATGCTACAAACGCAACAAAATTACCGAAGATAAGCGCAATTAGTGTAAGTAACGTGGCCAGTTAATAGAACATTATTCAGGGAGGCAGAACAAACCAAATAACATGTAATGAAATTTATCCACATTAAAAAGACCTAGTTTAAGTGTAAGTTGGTTTAGCCCAACTGCGGTGAAGAAGCATCATGAATGCAACCTCAGCCTCAGCAAGGGGCACACATACGCACCTACATACATATATACACTCACAGATATACATTAACTGCGCTGGCTAACACGTAATTTTGTACATTTCCATATCACTTGTTGTCCTGTTATCATAACCATGTCTGTATAGACGCGTTTCGTGTTATCGAGACTAAACTATTTAGTTACTTATCTATAGAAGATCGGCCCAGCGATAGTCTGTAGCTATCTCAACGGGGTAAGGGGCAGCATTGCAAAATAGATCGGACACCGAACACCGAGAAGGATCGGAAATAAGGAATGAAAATCACGTCATCCAGTCGGTCTGCAAATCGTAGAAGGGCAGTTGAGTTGGGCGTTGGAAAAAGACAATGGTGTACCTACCTCGAGTGAAAACGCGGCAACGCAAGTTTTGTACTCAGGATATGGTATGTAATTTTGGCCAGTGGCTTGGGACTCGAAAGCACTAGAGGGGTTAGAGTGAGGCACAGAGACCTCGGGTTTTGAAATGATGCTCTTATTAACGCGGTCGTCCGAGGGTGCTTGTTCTTGAGTCGAGTCTTTGCGCCGCAGCACCGGAATCGAGCAACGTACTGGTCCGGGAGCTGGTGGGTACGGTGGCTGCTCGCAAAACGACGTTTCACGCTGACAGAAACAGCAGTCCGTCGGATCCGTATGCTTCGCTGTCACGTTACACTTAGACGCCTCTTTGGTCAATGGAACGGATAGCCATCGGTTCATGCAGACTGGACAATGTGGAGTATCACCTTCGGCAGCCATCTCTTCTAGCCCTATGGAAAGGAAGTAAAAGGGAGCAATGTCTCGGAAAAATAATTAATCAGCACTTGTGAAGGTGACAAACGACTTGAGTTGAATCAGCTAATTATGTTAAGTTGACGGATTCAACGGGAAAACACTCGATGCGGAGAGACGGGAACCGGATCGGTGGTGGAAGCATCCACTATTGAGTAGAGTATGTGCTAAGTCCAACCAAAGAAGAATTCATTGTGATAGAACATTCAGCTTACCTCAGATGCCAGATACCATGCACGTGGATTTTGATCACAACAGAAAGTGAGGGATAACTATTATAAAAACCACAAACATCAACCTGCGTTGAAGTATAAGCATAGGGTGCAAGGCTGCGTAACACCGAATCACATCAAATTAACGCACGAAATGTGAATAACTGGTTGAGTCATACCATGACCTGGTACATAGCCTACTCATATGGTGCCAACAGATGGCTTAAATACTAAGCGGGTGTTATTTTGAAGCATTGGGTGTTTGAATGGATCACTAAATACAATGTCAATCAGGACTACAGTTCCCGATCTCAGCCAATTCGGTTCCCGGGGATGTATCCGAAACAGAAAAATTTCAGGTATTGCCCCCTCGAAACACCGCACTCCACAAGTGGTTTCGTATTCGGTTGTACTCATTAGACAGGGATAACATCATTGGGACTCGAACCAGAAACCCCAGGATGTTAGTCGAATCGTTTTATCCCTGAGTCACCGACTCGCGGGGGTCAACGCTTGTCACAAGGTGTAATGAGTATGAGGGGATTATTTTGAAGCACGCGTTGTGTGGTTGAATTGTATGCAGGTTAAGTTCTGATACAAAACTAAGATGACGATTGGGCAACCGTATGTTGTTGAACCGGTTCTTGACTGTACCTTTCAGCTGTAGTGCGAACTGCAGCTCCCGCACGACTATGTCCAACGAACAACAACCAATAAGCGATACAGGAGTTCAGTTAACGTGTGGTAAGCACACGGCACATTGTTAGCGAAGGAAAGAGTAGCAAAGCTGCCCACAAGGAGAACGGGGTCTCGGCGCTTCAGACATCTCCGAACTAACTCAAAGCAAAGTAGAGTACATGCGAAACTACGTGTCGTAAAGGAAACAAAATGTGTTTAACCCGGTTCCAGCCTCACCGAAAGTCATTTGGATGACATATGCGCTGTGGCAACTAGATAAATTTCAGTTCACTTTCAGCTGACGGAGATTAATCGTCCTTGAACAGCGTCATCCCCATTGAATACGGGGAACATTAGAGGCCTACTACGGACGATTTCCATTTGTAGCACTGAGGTGGCACACACTGTATGTTGAAATATATCAAATGCAGCGATTTTGTTGCCCCCAAAACGGATTTTTACAAGCGTGAGACCTTTTCTTCAATGCTAAAAAGACTACGAATTTGACCATATTTGAGTGCCTGTGTCCTCACGGACAGGTCCCTGCACTGTTGAAATATTATTGGTGTAGAGACCATGAGTTTTAGCCCATTACGGCAGCTGAACACTCTGGGGCTTTTGGCTAAAACGATCAGGAGCAATAGACTCTGTTTGGCGGGCCGGTCTATGGCACTGTTAGAGGAGGGATAAAATGCAGGTGTACTTGTGTAAATGTTCCTAATTGCAGACTTTCATTTTGTTGTGGTCATTCAGTGATATTTGTTTTAACGTATCATTTCGTTAGCCCTATGGCTTTTAGGGTCGTTGCTTTTGGGTACGGATAACGTTTCTACCACTGCTTGTTTTGTGTTTGGTCCGTATTGTCTATCTGGTCACACGCTACCAGTGCTCTGGTTGGCTATCACATTTACACGTAATACTATATGACGATGTCGTTTCCCTGGGAAAAGAAACTTGAGTCTTGTTTCTGCTCATTCGTATACTCCCTATGTAAGTGAGTGGATGCAGTCGCAGGGCCGGATACAACAGACGCTTACTATCATGCTGGCTTCCATGACATAGGTTGTTTGTGTGAATGGGTGTTGTGGGCAACAAACGCGGCAAAATGATGCTTTTGACTTTGAGACTCGCCCGTTGGGCCAACGCTGTCCCTCAAGCTTGGGGGATGCGCCGGTGGAAATGCATTATCAACAACAGCAACAACAATAGGTCAGTACTTCGTTTACATATTCGCAACAGCCTACCAATAGGCATGGGGCTATCAACTATGGAACTCAAAGGAAGGTACAAATATCGTTAAAAAAACACAACACAACACGGATGAGTCCATGGTTTCGTCAGAGGGCGAGGTACTACCCCGTTGTCAAAGCCGAAGTAGGGTGTTGACTTAGGGGACACCACTCCGAGCCTTTGGCCTAATGGCCTGCCTACAAGGAAACGGAGAGAAGTCAGGGAATCGCGTCCACTGGGAGTCGGTAACTGATTGTCCAGTTCATACGCCTTTCGGTTGTTCGTTTGCCAAACAGGGGCCAAATGCTTCGTAACGGTGCTTCGTTACCAGAGCAATACTAACCACACCGAGTGTAGAATGGGAAGTGGGAAGAATGAAGGATCAGGAGTAAAACCTAAATATTCTAAGCAAATATTCATCATCAAGACAGCCAAAATGTGCCTACAACGCTCGATCATAAACAGCTGGCTACCGTGCGAGGTGGTGGCATCGGCGTGAGAACTTCCGTGAGGCTTCCACTATTCCACTGGAAACACTTGTGTGGTTCTGATTCGTCCTTGGCAGAGCGCGAACTGCAAGCAACATTCTGTCATTGTGTCTTTATGAGCTACTTGAATGAATACCAACCCGATACCCATCCCTTGTCAAAGTTCCGCCATTTTCCGTCCATTATCACCTACTGGTGACCCGGCGGCTTGTCGTTGGGATACATGCACATATTCAACTAATGTCGGTCTCAAACAGACTGGCGTCAACAGCTGTGGGCTGCAGTTTCCTTGTGTTAGCACTCAGTAATTTTTGTTCTCTTCTCGACCAGGAGAAAAGATTAACTGTCATCTAGGGAAACTACAGCAGCGATTATTTTAAGTCCCTACTAACAATTCGCATCAGCATTCAAGCTAAAGAGGAAGATGATTTCGGTTACACGATGCGTATCTTCAAGCACAGATGTGTCAGCTCGAGGGCAGTTGGCATGCTCTCCCCTGTAACCACATGCTTGTGTGCTTGCCTAGTTGTGAAGGTTGGGACGCATGTCCGACCGGAGTATAGGCCAATAGATGGGAGATCTTAGACCGATTAACCACGATCCGTACGCCATACTACAAGTACACACGCTGCGGTGTCCTGAACGGCTTATCATCTAGTCACCTAATATCTCAGTCCTCGGAGCCAGCCATAAATCAACAAAGAATGCGTGATGAGCGCGGTTAAAAGTGTGACTGTGTACCTAGACTAGCTCGCAATCCGCATTGATATGATGCACACCATTCTAGGACAAAGCGAAGGACAAAATGCGTATGGATGGAACAGTGGCGCACGAAGTATGGTTTTTGAGTGCTTGTGCGTTCAAGCTGCTTCGGTTGAGTGAACTTACAACTCGGTTTATTGGATGAGTCACCGTGGAGCGTAGCTTCCGCTTAGCTCATTCAACACACGCAAGCACAAAACGCAGCTATACATGCACACGTGTGAGAGAGCGCGAGATCAGCGTTATTTCAGCTGCACTGAGTCACACATAAAGTGCTCCACTCATCCGGTTGATTAACCAGGCACATTGATGACGATGATGCATTGATCCAACGGCTCATCCGCATTCGCGAGAGAAAACTGACTTTTGGAAACTCGGTCCGCGCTTTCTTTTAGAACTAATCGGATGTGGGTGTGTAATCAGACTGCACGTGGGCACAGCGCCCATCTCATTCGGACCCAGCGCGAAGCAGCAATTTTGCCCGAATGAGTCATACGTACAGTCGTCCGCCCCCCACCCACCCCACATATCTTCCCAGAAAGATCGCGGAGACAGAGGGGCAACAATATGAATGAATGAAGCTGACAGTTTGAATTCTAATTGAGATAAGGCGGAGGACAGTGGGAGAAGGTAGAGTGGCAGTAGCCCAACAACCAGATTCCGGAAGGGACGCGCGGATAACTAATCAGATATAATGTCCGGCATGTGTTAGTTTCTTCTCAAGGAGTTGGTCTATGTCCTGGAATCGAATTGACATCCAGGTTCGCTGACAGATACGAAGGTGAAACGCGAAGAGTAGAAAGTGTTATGCGCTTCATAGTTAGTAGACATATGCTTAACATTTTTTCTCTTTGCACTGCGTCATTCAGCGCCAAGCAGCTTGTGAGAGGGTATGACGTGTAGCATTCTAAACCGTCGTCCCAACTGGACAAAAGTAATCGAGGCCAAGGCCTGAGGCCGTGTCCGTACGCATTTGTCAGTCTTGTGTACTGGACTTTATGCGCTACGGACCACTCAGAAAGATTACCGAGCTACGTCACACCGTCTCTGTAAGCTAAAATCTCACATTCGCAAGGCATTATTTGGCTGGCGCTCGCAGAGATGAATATGGCGATGAAGGTAGGCCATACTGCTGATCGAATGTACTCAGAGTATGGAAATGAAAGACGACTGTGACCCAACAGTTCTAAGAGAGTTTCTCGATAGTAGCTTCTAAATCAGACAATCCTCCACATGTCCATAAAATCACTAGACGGCTGTTTCGCTCCGTTGTGTCTCAGTAGTGTCCATCTATCGTACACATCAACATGCGAAGTCATAGCTGCTGTTAATGGAAGCCGTGTCTCACTGGGACAACGCTGTCTACTGCAACCTTCGTAACTCGCAGAACAGTGGAGGATGAGACGCACTATATCGCAGTTGGCTTGTAAATTATAACGGTCCGAAGTTGGTCCCCGTGGCCCAGTGATATGAGAAATGGCATGTAAGTCTACTGTATTTACTCATCCACGCATGTCTGGGGGTGTGAATACGACGTGCGGACGCATTGCGGTGCATGTGTCCTTGAAATATGTTAATGACCCTCGTCGATTTTGACACCGGCCAGTT